AAGACCTATATAAGGCAACAACAATATCTATACGACTTCAAGCAAGGCATGAACCACACTTGTACCAAGTGGCAATATCTGTAAGACCTCAAGCAAGGCATGAACCATACTTGTACCAAGTATCCAAAACTGTAAGACCTCAAAGGCATGTAAAACTTGTATGACCTTACTAAAGGCATAAACCCGATCTAAAAGCTAAGTCTATATATCGAACTTGTAAGACCCCTAAAAAGGCATACCCTCGATATAGACGCCGAAAATACTTTATTCGGGACAGAAAGGCTCCAGCCAAACACAAATGACTATGGTCACAAGGCTATACCAACCAAACTAACGCGACTCGGGGACGTCCGACTGTCGCTATAAAATCACATGCCTTCAATTACTTCGAAAAGAACCGGTTAAATAGGCTACCCTCGACACAAGCAAAAGAGTTTCGACCATGTCAGCTCCAAATTATAGGCTTCAAGATACTCAGCCATCGAGCCGAACCTCCCGAGGTGCTCTATCATCTCCATATAACGACTCATAATCGAGGTTCTTATCGAACCGTCGAAGAGTCAAGAAAGATACAATCTCAAAAGTCCTTAACGAGGGAAAAATAAAGCCTATATAGAGGTCGTACCAACCCAGTGCGTAAGAGTCACTGCCGCCAGCCTATATAAAAGGTCGTACCAGCCCAATGCGTAAGAGTCACTACCGCCAGCCCATATAAAAGGTCGTACCGACCCAACGTGTAAGAGCCTAAGGGCCAGCCTTAAATTAAAAAACTTGAGGGTCGAATGAGCTCAAGTCGATACACGACTCGGAGACTGAACCCAAAAGAGTTACACCAAAAGGTCGTACCAACCAAGCGCGTAAGAGCCTATGGGCCAGCCTAATGAGCCCGATGGCTATACCATAAATCTAAGGAGTCATTTTAACTCGAAAACCAGTTCATCTGGCTAAAATCAAGGTAAAAAGAAGTGATAAAAAACGAAAAGCCTTTTTATATATTGCTCACCGGGGTGCATTTACAAGGCCTTTAAAAACTCTTACAAGAAAGGAGCCAAATAGAATCCTAATCTATCATCGAGCCTACATCTTTTGACGGCTCCGCCGGAGGTTGTGCCCCAACGGTTCCGGCTACAGTTNATGTATATCCTTGAGAGTCCACCTCTGAGACTCTAACCGAGCATGTTCTACGGCCCGAGGCAATTCCAACCCGGCCTCCTCAGGCACCCTCCCAGCTTGAGCACTTATTACAACGGCATCCTCTTTATGTAAGGATATAAGCGCCTCATATTCAGTTTTGATCCCGGATAGTGTAGTAAATAAGTCAGAATGGAGACCTCTATATTTGTCACCATCCACCCTCATGTCATGAAGCTAGTGCCCAGCTAACGTCATCCTTTCCTGGAGGGTATCCCTCTCGTAAGTTATCTCTCTCACGTGCCGTTTGAGTTCGAAGACTTCAGAGTTTCTGGCTCAGAGCTTCTCCCTCGGTAGGGCACCTTCCTTCTCAAACTGCACGAATTAGATCAAAGATGTCAAAACGACTGGCATCTGGCAAACATTCAGACAATAGCAAGCGGAAACTAGGTAACATGTTCAACAAGATGAGCCTTCTCACGCTCATGACGGGTCACCTCAGCCTAAAATCGGGTGAAAGTCTGATTATAAAGGGTCATGTCCTGGAGCCATGAAAAAGACAAGTTAGAAATACAAAAATCAGGACGACAAACAGGATTTACGAAAACTACCTGCTCACAAAGCCTGTTCATCTCCCTAAAGACGAGTGAAGCATCGAGCTCGGGAATCCCCTCGGGAGCGGCTAAAGTCCTTTCAAACCCATCCCTGCCTCCGATGGGCACCCCCACATCGGAAGGTTCTTCATTTTGGGTATCTTGTTTTCCCTTAGGAAGTGAGGTCATTCCCAGAGGGGAATCACTCACGACAATGACACTAACAAGGTCAATTGGGGCCGCCTTTTGTCCCTACAGTGATTCAGAACCGGGTTCCTCCGAACCACCTGCCAAATGCATCTCAGCTTGAGGGATATTTTGGCCATCAACCGGCTCGAGGACATCACTGAATACTTCCTTAGTGGCCTCTCCAGCCCGAAGTTGGATCGCGACGACATCAAGCTCCGACTCGGGAGCCACCGTCTCTACGGCGTGAGGGTCGATCGGGTTTTCCCCTCCCTCGGACGCTATCAGGAAATCATTTTCCCCCTCGCCTTCGGCTCGGGGACTTCCCATCGCTTCTGGAGCTAATGCTGCTGTGTCGGCCTCATTTTCTTCCACCTTGGTTTTCTTGGATTCCGAAGGCTCATTCGACGGTCCCCTTTGTCTTTTCTTCCCTTTGTCAGGTCTCAAGGTATCCTCTTCGCCAGTCGATGTTTCCTTCATCAAGGGGACCTCCCCCAAACCTACACGAATGCAAGAGGTAAGCACAAAGAGTGAGGACGATATCAGCAGCAATCCTGGTTAAAAGGTATAGATACAACATGAGTAAAGGCTCACAGTGATCCTTGGCTACCCATCAAGCTTGGGACAAGTCACGCCACACTCGCTCAGTATATGAGCAGATCAAGTCCAGCCGGCTGACCCAACCCAAGAGGTCCGTAACCGCGCCAGGATAAACTGCTATGGCTGCATTAACAGAAGAAATTAGCACATGGAAAGATGTATCTAAAAAGAAGCGAGGAGATGTTAGACAATGTATCTACTTATGCTCCATGTTCCACCTTTCGGGGAACGACATCCTTTCCACCGGAATCAGGTCCGAAGTCCTAACTCGGACAAAACGGCTCATCCACCCGTCATTCCCGACTTCATCGATGCAAGCAAAAAGGGCCCTAAGGGCTCGGTAGTGGAGCTTAATCAGGCCCCCACAAAAGAGACAGGGGTTGTACATCCTGACAAGGTGATCAAGGGTGAAGGGCATCTCTTCGATCATGTTCACATAGTACCTGATCATGTAGACGATACGCCAGAACGAAGGGTGAATTTGGCCGAGGGTCACTTGATACCGTTGGCGGAAGTCGAGAATCATGGGGTCTATCGGAGGCAAAGATGGCCCCACCGGCCCAAGGGTAAATGGGTAAGTATACACACTGATAAAATCGACTTTATATGTTGTTATATCCTTCTCCCAAGAAGGGAGCTCCACAAGCACCGCTTCCCCCAGCAGCAATCAGTCCTCACCCTTTCGACGTCTGTTACTGAGCTAATATACTGAGACACAGGCTCACGATGCCCCGTCTTCGAAGAAGGTTTCTCGAACTTGAAATCGGAAGCCATTGCAAAAGATCCTGGAATGCATTCCTCAACACGAGGAGGTAATGCCGCTTTGACTTTAGACGGAAACGAAAAGGAGGAAGTCACGATCTCTTGAGAAGCAGAGGCGGAAGTTTTCGCCATTCCTAGAAGATTTCAGAGGAGAAAGGGAAATTGCGTTTCGAAAAAAGAACAAAAGTGAAGGTAGAAGGAACCTTTTTGGGGGCCTGGTGGTGCAGTGAGTTATCAAGGACGAAAGAAGAAGCATTTATAGAGGCCCTACACGCGCGTTGAAGGAGGCCAAAGGACATCCAATCATTGTAATCAATACGAAGGCTTTCAAGGGCTGTGTGAACGCGATCTTTGACACCTTATGACTGTCGTCATTACGGAAGTACCAGAGGGGCAAGAATTCAAGGTCGTTTCTTATCATATTCTCTCTAAGAAACGCGGGGACTATCTGTATGCGATAAAATTGGAGGGTCCAATTTTCCGTCATTGCGATGCCACGTAAGCACATTTCACAGGTTCGAGACTATGGTCGAGGTTCACCCCCGAGGGCTATCGACGCTCGACCTCGGGGAAGTGCAGACCAACGGCTATGATGAAAAAGTGGGGAGTTCCCAAGGCGCATAACTAGAGCTGACAAAGTCTAGTGAGCTAAGTGCAGACTCGAATCATGGTATCAACTAGCTGTCTCATCTCCATATCTTTGTAATAAATGTATTTGTACTATGTTGGGGTTCCCCCTCATATATAAAGGGGATCTTTGTCATTTGTAAAGGATCGGATACTCAACATTAATACAAAAGGGCATTTTCTTTTCTCTCTAACATATTCTCTTGATCTCATTACTTCCATTTATTGCTTATATTCATTGTGTTATATTTATTGTTCACCATCTATTACTTATCATTATCATAAAGAGCCATCATTTTAGATCTCATAACTGTTAGTCCTCCCTCGATTGCCCTAAGCCGGCCTCCAGATTCGTCCCCGGGGCCTCATATACGGTAGCTCGAGGCCCCGACCTCCAACCGTTCGGTTCGATTATCACCTCACCTCTAAGTTATAATCTTGCTCTTTAATCTTTTACTTAGCATTGCCTAACAACTAGCATAAAAATAGATCACATATTTTTAGAATCACAAAATCAAATTTAATTGTTATTACCATTTTCACGGTAAACACAAAATTTTACATATTTTAATGTAAATTAAAAGTACACTAAAAAGATGTTCTTATAGTTACTTGGTTAGAAGTACTTGTCCAAACAAATTATCAAGAACCAAATCAGTCATTTTAATGGATAAATTGAACATCTTTAAATATAAAAAAAGGCTCTAGCAGGCAGTCTAACTTATTTTTGCGCAAATTGAAGCTATTTTTTCGGTAACATGGTGTTTTTTCTTAAATTTGTTCTTATTTTTTTCTTTTGCAAAAAATTGATGTTTTATTTTGAAGTTGAAGAAGTGAGGAGCCGTCTTCCCTCAAAAACTCTTATTCTATTTACAAGATATCCAAAACTTCAAAAGAAAACTACACCTATAACACACCTGGATGACTTCCATAAACTTTAAAAAAGAAAAAAAGTTCTTCTCAAAAAAAGTTTTGAGACAAAACTGTCATAGTTAAAACATGGGTACTGATCTGGCGAAAAATAATAAATCATGTGGGCTGAAACATGATTTTACATTTTAACTCCGAAAAGGATCCAAATACCGAACCCTATAGCTTCAACTCGGTTCAGAAGGACCCGATTTCTGAGTCAAATCGGCCGGGGGCTCACTTCAACCAGCACCTTTCAAACTACAAAAAATTTCTAGCTTTCTTACAACATTTTCTGCAACAAATCGGAGTGAGTTCAAAACCCTAGAAAAGCAGCAGCTATTGTAGAGGAGATTGATGGAGGAAGCAGCTCAGAATGAGAACGGAAACCCGCCGTCGGCGGCAGTGACGGCGGTGGAGGAGACGGAAGATGAGCCGGTTATTGGACCGGGTCCAGCTCCTCATGTTAGTAAGAAGCGTCCTCTTCAGTTTGAGCAAGCCTATCTCGAGTCCCTTCCTTCAGCCAACTTGTAAGTAGTACTATCAACTATCCAGATGCTTAAATTACATAAGTATATTTTCGGTTTGTTTTAAGTCTTTAGGGTTTATTTTTCAGTATTTTCTAATTCATGATTCTTAGTTCATATTTTTTTCAACATAAGTCATGTCTGTATTGGCAATGGAGTTCAATATTGTAAAACACACAACGCATTAGTTATGCATTATTGTATACCGAAAATCAAATGGTGTATTTGTTAATTTTTGGGATCATGGCGGTGGTCGCGCCAGCTTGCGCTCATAAGTACCGATACTTCTCCACCAAAGCTTAGGCAGATGGGAAGATAAACCTAGTATTTTTTGCCTCTGCTCGGACCTGAAGCCTAGTTTTCAAGGTTTGCTACCACTTCATTGACTGCTAAGTCACGCCCTTGAGTGTGAATGTTGTATTAGTATTGAGAGATTAAATTAGTAATGTAAAGATTTACACATATTAGTAATTGAGAATTTTATGTCCAGATTAGTTTTTCTTGTGCGGTCAACCAAACAGATCCAAGTGCCCTGGGTGCTTAGTATTGTGGACACTTGTTGATGGAGAGAGACTGTTCTGTTGGGAGTTTTCAGATTCTGGCTTTTACAGTTGTTACAATTTGTAATCTTAGGACCTATCTGAAATGCTTAATGGTGGCATTGTTCTAATTTGGCTAATTCAAGTTTATATAGGTTTCCGGGGTTGAGCATATGATAGCAAATTTCTTGCTAGTTAGCTGGGACAAAAAGGTGTTCTTACTTCCGTTGTATTTTCAATGTGATGCTGTTGTTTAGAGAGGTCAGCATTTATCAATCAAATTGTCATCTTTGATTATAGCAGATCTGATAGCGCCGAAGACGAGGATAGAGATATGAGTGAAAAAAGACCAAACAAAAGATAAACTATAGACACGAAAATCAAAGAGATATTAAATAAAAAGGGAACTTACAAGCAACCCGAGGTATATTTAACCTTTGAGCCTCAAATATAATCCCAAAAAATCAAAGGTAAAATACAAGAAATTAACAAAGGAATATGGAACCAATACTTTACATTCAACAAACCACCATGGGTATTTGAAACCTAAGACTTCAATTGAAATTAAAGTAGAATTCCAACTCAACCAAAAGGATAGTTGAATTACCATAAAGACTACTCAACTTGAATGGCAATCCAGGAACTTCACTGAAGAACATATGGTTCTTCCCTAAAAACTCGCAAGAGAGTAATCTCAATTTATCAAAGTTCAGTGCTAAGGTCCACCTAACTTGAAAATATTAAAAAGTTGCAAAATGGCATAACAGCATGCACACAAGAGTGTGAAGTTGCTAGCTTCAGTGGCCTTGGGCTGATTGATGGCCGAAATTCCCCTCTCTAAACCGGTAAACCCTCTAACGTGCTGCGTTGGCTGAACAGTTCTCCACATAGGGTGCCTGGTGTAGCCCTACGTCCAGTCAATAGTCCCTGGAAAGATTTGGTTGAAATGCTTTACAAGCAGAGCAGATCTTATGCTAGTTCGGACTTATTTGGGTTTGTGGGTGTGTGTGTGGGGGGGGGGGGGGGTGCTTTT